AGGCATACAATTGAAAATCGGAACCCTTCTTAAATAAATTAGAATGAAGATACTATTTGTTAAAAAATACACAAATTGTAAAGTTGTGCTAATTTATATTATTATAGTTTGAGATTACAAAAAAATTTTAATGAAAATTTTATAATTAAGTTTAGAAGTCGAAACCAGGGGATTTATTTAATTGATGCAGTTATGATAAACACCTATATGCCTGACCCTCTTTTCAGCGTTCGTATTTTGCCTAATGGTAAACGCGGTCCTGAAGTTAACTATACATATTACGCAACCTTATGCGCCGCAAACGGAATTGTTGTCTCTCTTTTGGGCCAAGCCACTAAAAGAATTTACCCAGGATCGGAATTTGGGTAGCGCACGGCGACTTCTTAGAAATGAAGCACGAGGAGGAATTTACTAATGTAAGCCTATGACTTTATTAAGTGTGTTCGGAAGTTCGAATGAATCTCACCGTGTCGCTAAAAAAACTGTATTACCTTTATACCAACACCTCCCACGCTCTGCTACTAAAGGGACGGTCTAACTGCAAGCTTTCGCTATGCCTCGCAAAGGCTTTTGTTTGTATGCATACATCTTTTAACCTGATGCCTTCCAGTCTCTCCCGCGTCTAAGGCATGGGCCTCCTAGAAAGCTTCACTCATGAGTCGATTAGGCGGCTCAGGACGAAACGCCTTGCACCTTTCCTTTTTCTCCTATCTTCTCTGTCTCTTCCCTCCAGCAATTCAGAGCGATGATAAAAAAGCAACACGAATTTCTTTAATCTCGTCAACGGTCATACCGCGCATGTACCTACCGGTTCTCGTCCGATCACCGAAGTCAAGATGCGTTGGGCACGGTTAGTACTTAGATGGGTGACCGCTTGGGAACTCCGTGTACTGTTGGCAATATCTTTTTTTTTCATACAAATTATGAGCTTGCCACTGACAAACGAAATCGGTCCAATCATATTTTAATAGTTCGTATTGTTTTCTAGTGTCTAAACAGCTGTCGCGACCCTCCCACGCTCTGCTACTAAAGGGACGGTCTAACTGCAAGCTTCCGCTATGCCTCGCAAAGGCTTTTGTTTGTATGCATACATCTTTTAACCTGATGCCTTCCAGTCTCTCCCGCGTCTAAGGCACGGGCCTCCTAGAAAGCTTCACTCATGAGTCGACTAGGCGGCTCAGGACGAAACGCCTTGCACCTTTCCTTTTTCGCCTATCTTCTCTGTCTCTTCCCTCCAGCAATTCAGAGCGAAGATTAAAAAGCAACACGAATTTCTTTAATCTCGTCAACGGTCATACCGCGCATGTACCTACCGGTTCTCGTCCGATCACCGAAGTCAAGATGCGTTGGGCACGGTTAGTACTTAGATGGGTGACCGCTTGGGAACTCCGTGTACTGTTGGCAATTTCTTTTTTTTTCATCCAAATTAAGAGCATGCCACTGACAAACGAAATCCGTCCAATCATTTTTTAATAGTTCGTATTATTGTCTAGTGCCAAAACAGCTGTAGCGACCCTCCCACGCTCTGCTACTAAAGGGACGATCTAACTGCAAGCTTCCGCTATGCCTCGCAAAGGCTTTTGTTTGTATGCATACATCTTTTAACCTGAGGCCTTCTAGTCTCTTCCGCGTCTAAAGCACGGGCCTCCTAGGAAGCCTCACTCACGAGTCGACTAGGAGGCTCAGGACGAAACGCCTTGCACCTTTCCTTTTCCGCCTACCATCTCTATCTCTTCCCTCCAACAATTCAGAGCGATAATACAAAAGCAACACAAATTTCTTTAATCCCGTCAACGGTCATACCGCGCATGTACCTACCGGTTCTCGTCCGATCACCGAAGTCAAGATGCGTTGGGCACGGTTAGTACTTAGATGGGTGACCGCTTGGGAACTCCGTGTACTGTTGGCAATTTCTTTTTTTTTTTCATCGAAATTAAGAGCATGCCACTGACAAACGAAATCCGTCCAATCATTTTGTAATAGTTCGTATTGTTGTCTATTGTCAGAACAGCTGTAGCGACCCTCCCACGCGCTGCCATCAGAGGGACGAACTAATCGCAAGCTTTCGCTATGCCTCGCAATGGCTTTTGTTTGTATGCATACATTTTTTAACCTGAGGCCTTCTACTCTCTCCCGCGTCTAAGGCACGGGCCTTAAAAATAGAAACAGGACGAGTAAATACTGGCAGAGATATAGACTGGATTTCATGAGAAGGATCATGTATAATGAAACTACAAATATAAGAAAAGCCATCAATAAACACAGAAACAACATATGGGAGCAAAAACTGAAGAAGCTCAACCCAACAGGCAATTCCATATGTAGAATGACGAAAACACTAAAAACTGAATATAAACCAATACCTACATTAACTGATAATAATAATGAGGCTATGACAAAACAACAGAAAGTAAAGATGTTGGCGAACCAATTTGAAAAAGTACACAGCATAGACTTACTAAACAACACTAACGAGGAAAATGAAATAACGGAACAAGTTAAACACTTTCTCTAGGACAAGATAGAGAAGGATGGGTACGAATATTTCACGACACCAAAAGAGGTCTGTAAAATCATTATGAGTTTACCTGCAAAGAAAGCACCAGGAGCGGATGGCATACAAATAGGTAGTTTTTGAGCCCATACATGACTTTCTAGGTCAAGGCGTCTGGCCCAAAAGGAATCGAATAAACAAGAGGCCTCTGAGTAGGGGCAGTCAAAAATAACGTAGAATAGTGTCCGAAGATACCGTAAAACTAATGCCTTAACATTTTCTTTAATGAAATACAAATTTCTTGAAACCAAATATGAGAAAATCACTTGAGGTCAGGCCCAGCATACACGGAGGGGGTGAATCGCCCCTTTGGGATTTCCCAGGCCTGCTGTGCGCGGGAAGTGGACAAGGATCGTCGGGACGACGCGTCCCCACTTTTCACAAGATCGTCGAATCTTTTTGCGAACAGACAACTCAGACTCAGACTCAGACAGCGCAGATATAGTCTTTGTGTAGAATACACTGTTGCAAAAACGTAGAAACGTTTATTTTCCAAATTATGTGCATTTTGATTGGTAACACTAACTGAATACAAAAATGTACACTTTCTTCGTCGTATGAATAAGATATTTGAAAACTTTAGATTTTATCGCAGCTTGATAAAAGGCATTGATTTAATTCATTTAACACAAAAATCTATCGGTATTTAAGGCCAATATTTCGTCATTTATTACACATAAAAACATGGTCTTATACATATGTACATGCTCTATGGCGTTCAAATCTAGTGACTGACTCGGTCACTTAATAGTATTAATATTTTCTTTCTGCCAAAAATGTGTTTACTAATTTTGCAAGTATCTTTTCTCTTGTGAATGGCAACGTACAATTTTGCGTATTTATCGTCAATACGAAATTGACTCCACCTGATTATGAAATAAAAGGCAACTAAAAACAATGTAGTGTTTCTTAACACTGTCCACATTGATTTGATCAGTTTCTATTATTAAGTGTAGAAAGTCACCTTTATATAACATGTACAAAATAACTTTTATCACCTTTCAACGTCTGAAATCATATTCTTTTTCTACTTTAAGTGATATAAATCTACTTATAGCATTTTGTGATACATATTCACAGAATTATACAAAACTTGTTTTGTTTCTCAACTTTCTCAACTCGAGATGTAAAATAAATATTTGTTAATTACTTGTAAGCAACTGTGTCTGTTGAAAAAGTATGCGAAATGCAATGATTTAAAAAAATATTCCCTGCAAGCGGAGAAAAAAAGATCGATATTTTCTTTGTTATCTCTTCTGTAAATATGCGGTATCTAGAGTATGTATATAAAATATTACAACGAAATTTGAAATATTAACGAAGTTACAAAGGTCTGAAGTAAGCTGTGTGCAGCATTTGTCGCTTCTATGGAATTAGGACATGTACGACCAAAAATCATACAAGTGTTCTCTATCAGATATTTTTAAGCAAGAAGAGAGAATTTTATGCGGCTCCGATATCGCTGATTAATATAGAAAATGTCCGAAAAACTTTGAAAGAGTTTGTTTCAAAACTGCATTTTCGAAAATATCTTCCACAATATCTCTGAAAGTACTTGACCAATTAACCTAAAATTCTACATATATGCTTCGTATACATTTCTTTATCGTCTGTACCAGAATTACAAACGTGTCTGCCGGGACTTCTTTGGAATAACAAATTAAATCTGAAAAATTTCTAGATAAATCGATCATACGTTCTTTCATGCACAGTTATTTTTCATATCCAATTTTTCACGAACGACGCTGGTGCAAACAATAAAGACATTCTATAGATTAAACATAATTTTGAATTTTTTATTTCGTACCAATGGGAAGGGTGTTATCATGGAAGTTATGTAGCAGCTACATCGAAATACAACTTTGTTAACATTCTTCTTTTTTAACGCATAAATTTTTAAACATTCATTAAAGGTGAATAATTATATTTGGCAAAAACCACAGATTAATATATTTGGTACTTTTGTTTTAAGAAGAATCACGGAAATTACGTAACCCTTTAACAAATTATTTAAAATTATTTGTCCTTTTACAAGTTAAACGGTCATTAGAACTCCGTTACTTTTCTAGGTAGACGAAAATGCAAAGTGTTAATCGGTGTTCAAAATAATTAACAGTAATTCATTTAACGAGTAAAAAGCTCTAGGGGTGGAAGGGGTGGAATTTGGTCGATTTCGGGCGCGCGTCTAGTATGCTGCTCTCACGATGCTTGTTGCATCTGAAATAGTATGTAGGCTATAGCGTGTCTATAGTTCGAAATTCAAAGCTGGTCACGACATTGTACCCACAACGGTTACTCTAGAATAGCGTGAACAACAATATAGCACGCCAAGGCATGATCAGTTCTCGGACATTGGCCATCGTTTATTTACGTACACATGGTCGTGAAACATCGCACACGCGATCGACGGATATCAATTCGCGGGATCGGATGCTGACTGTTTGATCTAGCTTCGTGAAGCATCGTTTCCACTTATCAAAATTCTAAGGATTCTTCTAATTGTCGTATTACTTAGGGTGAGTAAAGAAGGTTGTTTTCTTGTCTCCCTTAACCCCTTGACGTATGATTTCTTTTCCTGTCTACGCATCTAAGCGTCGGCTATTTACCGTTTTAGTACTGTAGTAAGTAAGAAAAACTGGTGTATTATAGATTAATTAAATTTGGAAATCTTCAGTTTTATAAATTAAATTGAAAATTCGAATTAAAATTAATGTTTGTCACTGATATAACTGTTTTTATCGGATCTTGACCAAAATCTGTGACAGGAGTCTGAATAGTTGCTATACGACAAGGGGTTAAATCTTTCATTGTACAATAGTTGGGTCGTGTGCTTCTGTAGAGAGAAATTTTTAAAAATGTGCATTTGAAATTCAACTAAAATTAATTTGTACTCTAAGCACCTAGAGAATTTACGTAGGACATAATAAAAGACTAGAAAAGTCCGTTATAGGCGCCTAATACCTTTAGATTTATTCGCATCCTTTGTGTTTATGTTTCGTGATAACTAAGTAGAACTGATTGCATAGCTCTGAGGTACAATTTACACCAGCATGACGATAAAATGACGCATTGTAGGTAGGTATACAAGTAGGAATAAAATGGCATACATTTGTATTTATTTAAAATTTTATAAAAAGGCAAATTTGTTAGAAACTTTTGTACCTTATTCAACATTTCTTCGATAACCAATGAAAATTCTTTTATCACGGTATGTCTATTTTTGAGAAAATAATCAAAATTTCACTTACTTAAAAAGAGAAGAATTCGTTTATTTATTAAATTTCTATAGCAATACTGCGTTTATTTGTTATAAATTAAAATATTTCGAAAATATTACTTCCATTGTTCAATTTACAATTTGTTCAAATAATTTTCTGATTAAATTCAAGTTCACCCTTAGATTTTTCAGCTTCGTTCCTGACAAACTTTCCTTTAACATCGACATTGACACTTGTATCCAGTCCCACATAATATTTAGTGTTATTTTGGCGATAAAAAATATTTCACTTTGCATATCATTTTAACGTGAAGATAAACAGTCCCCAGAACATTAAGACTGGAAAGAAAGAATGTGATTGGTGTTACTTTAAATTTAAAATTAAAAGAAATTCATCGAAAGTACAGTAATTATATTCGTCTTTGTCCTGCATGCACACTGCATCTTTTTTTCTTATGCACTTATTATCATATCTCTTTAAGATTTAAGTTATCGTATTTTGTTTCTGATTGCATTAGATATTCATCTTTGAATCACGACTATGGATGTTGACATAAAACTGAAGAGGAGTGGCAACCAGTCCTTCGGCTTTCGGTTATCAGGAGGTGTTGACTTTAGCTTTCCGTTAACTGTCGTCAGGGTAACGTATTCTCCAAAGCGTGCATGTTAATAACAATTTCAACAGCAATTTGTTGTTCGCAATAAAATTTGCCGATGAATATTGAAATGTCTCGAACGTATTCGAATGGAAATTCACGCGACGTTTCACTAATTTCATGCACTCAGAAAAGTTTTCACGTGAAATATTCGCATTTACAGATTTTTTATCGGCATTGCATTCGTATCAAATCGCACGACCTCGTTTTCGTTCGGCCTGAATCCTGCGGTCAGTCCGACTGAATATCGGCTTGAAAAAAAAGAGGGAGTCATTAATCGAATCGTAGACGAAAAGAGGCCGAATGCTCGTGAATGTTTTTAAATTTCGCTTGGCACTGGTGTCTTGGTTGTTTCAACTTTTCGCTTGCTTTCGTTACGTTTATTCCCGTACGTTCTTCTTCTCTTTCGAACCTTACTATTCCATTGTGATCACAGAAATCTGTAAACGTGGAAAATTTGATTGATAATGCGCGGATAATCCTTAAAAGTAATAATATTAGGTCACCCCATAAGTTCGTGTCGGATTTTATAATTTCGACCAATATTCCCAACGAACCTTCAAATTTGACGAAAAGGAACATAAACGCCTTCTCATTCCACAACTTTTTTCTATTTTATTTTTCTTTTTTTAGTAAGATCATTATGTCGTCGCTATAGTATTTCCTTGGATTTTCAATCAAATATTTTTCGCTTTGGGGCACGAATTTATGGGATCGCCTGATACAAGCAACAATTGCTGTTCCATCGGTTGACACATTTATTTAAAGATCATTATCTAAAGGTGGCCCTTGGAGGTTTGGCCGATCAAGCAGGCCTACAAGCAGGCGACATAGTCCACAAAGTAAATGGGGAAACTGTCCAGCATTTGAGGCATACCGAAGTTCTTGATCGCCTCGTCAAAGCCGGAAACGAATTCACATTGTCCGTCATACGAAATCTGAAAATCGAACGAAACGTTTAACGAAAATGACGCGTTCTTTACGCCGTCGTTACGGCGCGTCCTCTTACGAAATATTAAACGAGAAACCTTTGCTTAATCGATACGGTTCTATTGAATTGTAAATAAAATATCCTCTACCAAAAAACACCGACTTCTTCGACGAAACGTGTTAGTATCGATGTGCAATTCAAGTGCGTTCAGCGATACAACATAACTTCAAGATTTTTTCATTTATAATTTATTCAGAGGAATATTAACAGTTAAGCTTCAGTATACGTATCAACACGAGAATCTTATTTTCGAACTAAAAGATAATGAATCGAAGTAAAAATGTATCAAACAGAAAGAAAATAAAAAATCCCAAATTACTTGGAGTGCAATACAAAGCTGTAATTATTATTCATTATATCTGCCGAAATTTTCATCAAATACTCTTTCATCAATTTGTAATTCGAAGCTGTTAAAAGTTGTACATTTTTTACGAATATTTCAGTTACAAGTGTTAACTTGCTAAAAAAGAACCGAATTCTGAATGTGAAAGTTAATCTTTTTAGCCGTGGTACATTGAAATTGGGGTATTGTTATTCACCGGCCGTTTTTACGATAAATTTAACACCCGTAATCAAGGTCCATCGAGACAAGCTTGCAACATCGTATTGTCGTTATGTATCACCGATTGACCCACATTGCAAAATACAATTTGTCAACTATTGATCCGGGCTCGTCTATGATCGTGCCTTCTCTGGCAATGAGTCATTGGTCTGTTAAGGTGACGTTTTAAAGGGCAATTAATCGTTGAATTAAACGGTAGCTCAAGATAGGAGGAGCAGTTGAGTACACTAATTTCCACGTAATAAGAAAAATGTCGAACTTCGTATCTGATTAGTATTTTCATCGTTTAACGTAAAACTTCTGATTATTAATCTAGAACTAACAGTAATAAAAATATATATGCAAACTGACTTTGTCAACAAAACTTTCTGACATTTCTTGGTATTCCTTATTATTTTGCAAATTATATAAATTA